GGAAGGGGGAAAAAGACGATAGACGGGCACCAAAGACCAAGACGAGGTCCGGGTTGGACAACCCCAAATCTGAGGATGAGGGATACACTCGTGTCCCAAAACAGGCCGATTCAAGAGGCGGGTCGAGTGCAAGTGATCCATCGATATGGCTGTGGGTCAAAAATAGGTACCCAAAATGGAGCCCTGGTGAATGGAAAGGACAAAACCTGTGGTCCATATCCTGGTGGTCTAATTTTGACCCGTACCCAATCCTCGCCTTTCAGCGTCAAGGTGCTCAGATGGTACGCCCGAGGGTAGGAGGAGTTGCCGGTGCACCCGCAGATGGACCGGTCGCCCGGCTCGTCTGCGGCCAGGTCCAGCCCAAAGTCCGCCGCGGCGTCCTCGTAGCTCTCGCCACTGGCCACGAACTGCCGGAGGGAGAGATTCCTACGCGCAGACAGTCAACACTCGAGGCAGAAGAGAAGTAGGGTGTATCTTCTTTTTCGGATTGGAGCCCCAAAATCATGGGTTCTTCCTTTGGTTTCTCCATAAAACCAACCAAAAAACCCCCCCCCACAAAAAAGAAAAGCCCCCAAACCAGAAAGCCGAGCCCCCCAAAAAAGCCGAAGCTTCTGGTGCGACGCATGGTTCAGGCCGATGGCGCAGGGCAAGCAGTTGGCGCCGTGACCGGCCGCCTGCAGGAAGAGGTTCCGGAAGGACTTGGACAAGTTGAAAACCGTCTCGATGTGGTGAGCAATGGACTTCGACAGGTCGATGGAGCAGTTCGCGCCCTTCACGCAGCTGAGCTGCCCGCCGCCGAACTTCCCGGCGTCCTTGATGATCACGGAGAAGTGGCCAATCCCAAACTCCACCTGAGTCACTTGCTCAAAACCCGGTAAAAAAATGGTCGACCCAGAGCCAGAAAAAAGAACCCATCATCTGCCCGGGTTTTGATTGTGGCTCACCTTCGCGGTGCTGCCGGCGCCAGCGGCGATGAAGCCGCAGGCGCCTTCGTCCTTTTCCACCAGGCCGTCGGGGTACACTCGCATCCATGCGGGGGTTGAGCCTGGCCTGAAGCTGGAAGCTGGCCGTTTCGGGATCTGGACATAAAGGGACATCACCTTTAGGCACCTTTACTATAAATTGTGGTTGTCTCTTATTTTTGCTTGATTCTTGCTTTTTCTTTCTGAAAACATCACCGTTTGGGACCTTTACTAAAAGTGGTTCCCAAAACTTTCCAGAACGCCTTTCAAGCCAAATGGCAAAAAACACGCGACGCTCGTTTTTGTTCTTTGTCGGACCACCCGTCAGATCCAAAAGTCGTCGCTTCCGTTTGAGCCGAGCGGCAGTTGCTTCAAGTGGGACTGCCGGACTGCGCAGCGAGGCTCCGAGTCCCCGTCCTCCCAAGTCACCGTGCCGTTGTAGAATCCCGCGTCCACCGCCGAGATGGCCTGGGCGGACACCGCGGGCCACCGGGCATCCCCGGCACAGCTCTCGATGTACCTCGCCAGGCCGAGTTGAACCGCAGGAATACAAAGCTGGTCACACGTAAAGGCCCTCAAAACCAAATTTTTGGCTGCCGAAAAGGGGACACCAAAAGGCGAAAAGGTCGACTTGCTCTCGGCCAAGGTACCAGTTCACCAGCAAGATTGCGCGGCCGCTGCTGCCACCCACACGCTCGGCCAGGATCAGGCAATCCCCGCCCCCGTCGGGCTCATCCAGCAAGAGGGTCTCCTCCACGTAGCCGATCTTGCTCCGTAGCCGCAGGAAACCACCGTCGTTGTCATCCCGAATGCGAATCAAAGTCTCGTACGTCCCCATCGAGGAGGAGACAGCGAGCCCTCGGCTGGCTCTGAACATCAAGTCCCTTCGTGCTGCCTTCCCAAAGATGATGTGGTCAATGGGCAAGATTGCTTGCTCTTCGTGCTTCCTCCTCCCCTAAATCTGTCATTGGGTCAACCCTCCGTATGTGCGTTTCTCTCAAAAAGAACCACATGCGGATGGGCACAGCAATTGGTCGACTTTTTCAAGGCCCTTTTTGCATCTTTTATCTTCTGAAGGCCCATTGTCTTTCTTCCCCTTCCTTCTGGGCCCGGAAATTCCCGTCGGCCCACAATTGCACCTCTGACTTCCATGTCTGTTGCGCCTGCAAAAACATACTACCCTGCCTCCCATGGCACCTGACAGAGGGTCCCTTCAAGAGGAAATTCATCTACCAGGTACCTTTCCATAGGTGCCATGTCAGTGGGAGGGAGGGGTACCTGGGTGCCAAAAACACCTCGCGCGGCCGGCCGGGGCGTCGGGTCGTGCGGTCGTGCGGGCGAAGCGTCGCAGCGTCAGCAGCTTCTCAGAGACGTTGTCGTTCAGCAAGCGGAGCACCAGAGCCTTCGGCTCGGCTCAAAAAATTCGGTCGCCGAAACAACTCTTGGGGGGGTCCAAAAAAAAGGGCGTGGTGGGTGTCCCTTTTGCGTCCCTTTGAAAACCAAAAGGCGTCCAAAGTTGTTGATAAGGCTGTGGGTCAAAAATAGGTGCCCAAAATGGAACCCTGGTAAATAGAAACAAGGACTAAAACCTGCGTTCTTTGGTGTGTGTGTGTGTGTGTGTTTTTTTTCTGGTGGATTAATTTTGACCCATCAACTTTTAGTTGGGTCTCAAGGTGAAGCGAGACTGTGTGACACCCGGACCTCCGGGCTCTTGAGAGACGAAACCCCGGTTTAGAGATCACACCTTCACGGCAAGGCTATGCCTGGCACTCCAAAACCAACCACCCCCCAACTGCTTGTGGCTTCAATACACAGGGGATTTTTTGGACCGGTGAAAAAAGGAGCCGGCAGTTTTTTGGGGAGGACAAATTCGCGCCTTGGGCTCCTGGTCCCCATCCTGGAACGTCACCTGGCGCTGGGTGAGGAGGAAGTCCCTGCCATCCGTGGCATTGGAGGGGAGCACACCTAAGCGAGATGCGAGTGTCCCACCTCAAAACAAACAGTCATCCCCCCCTCCCTCTCTCTCTCCCTCTCTCTCTCCCTCTCTCTCTCCCTCTCTCTCTCCCTCTCTCTCGCTCTCCCCCACTCGACGTCTACGCTGACCAGCTGTCGGCCTCCCCCTCCCCCAAAAAAATCGCACCCCACCCCCAGCCCCCCCCCCAGCCCCCCCCAGCCCCCCCCCAGCCCCAGCCCCCAGCCCCCCCCCCCAAGCCCCCCAAGCCCCCCAAGCCCCCCAAGCCCCCCAGCCCCCCCCAGCCCCCCGTTCCCCCCCCCGGCCCCCTCCCCCTCCGCCCCCAAGCAAACGCCCCCGTCCGATCTGATCCGAGCAGCTGATGTTGGCCGAGAGCTCGCCCTCCGTGCCGTTGCGCCGCACCAGGCCCACAAAGTGGATGCTGTTCCCCTCCACCAGCTCCTGCTCTGAACGCCCGGTAAAATCCATTCCCCTGGGAAATGGAAAAAAAGAACCAAGCCCCACATGTGGGGGTGGCCCGTCGTTTTTTTTGGGGGGGGATACCCCCCCCCCTTGTTTGGTGGGTTAAAGAGAAACCAACTGGAAAACCGAATCATTGTTTTTGGGGGGCGGGGGTCCTCAATAAAAAAGCCCAGGTGGTATCCCCAACGGCCCAAAGGGAACCCCCCAGAAACGAGTCTCCGGAACCCTCCCTGAAGTATCACCTATCTGGGTAAAGACCCATAGCTGAAAGCTGTTGAGAAAAATCATGGCCCTGGTAAATGGAATACCGATCTAACCACTGGAACCCATCTATTTCTAAACAAGCTAATGTAAAAAGGACAGGCGAGGAACCCACTATTGTCTAACCAAACTAGCCCAAAAAGGACACCTATGGGTGTGAATTTCAAGTGCTTGGAGCCGAAATGGTGGACACCAGAATTCGGCGGGGATGAATTGGTCCAACGACGTTTGAGGTTCCAACTCTTGAAATTCGGTGCCAAATAGGCATTAATTTTGATTGGGAACCCTTTGGTGGACAGCTAAATTCAGGTTCCCCGGTGAAATGTTCCATTTGCCAAATCCACTCCCGCCCTCAAAAAAAAGACTAGGCGATTTTCCCCTTCGGCCTGAAACATTGGCAACCCCCATGGTTGCCTCAACAGCTTCCCTCAGCTTCCCTCAACTTCAAGGAGGGTCCCAAGGAAGGCCCCGAAATCATACCGGGCAGTGCTCCTTTGCCACGAATGGAGATGCCTCAAAAAGGGGCCCCAAAGCCATCTGATTTGCCCTACAATGAGGGGATGAGTTGCTCCACAGGGTCGCTCTCTGTGAGGTCTCGCTTTGCCGAAACCCATAGGTCGTGATCACGACCTATGGCGCTCGAAAGCCGCCCGACCTGAACCCAAGGGCCCACTCCTGTGAGCCTCGGAGGAACTCCACGTGGCCCCTCCCAGCAAAGGCCAGAGACAGCGCTGCCAACGCGCAGAGCCGTCGCATGGCATGGGGACAAACGGCACAGCCCTTGGGGGGGCTGTAGACGCTCGGTTCTTTCTGGGTTCCGGTTTTTGGATCTCGGATTCTGGGGTGGGCTGCCACACTCAGCGAAGGAGCATGTGCCCGATCTCTTGGGGTTGTGTGGGCGGTCTCCATCATTTTGTCCAGTTGCCAGTGTCGCTGGGCATGAAAATAGACCCATGTCTCACTCTCCCGGATTCCTATGGCGGTGTCTTCTTGGAGTTTCCATTAGGCGATGCCCCAAAAACGTTCTCAACAGACTTGCTCTGTCGAGAATGCATGTTCTTCCGGTTTCTCTCTGTCTGACATCGGAGTTTCTGATGTTCTTTCTATCTAAGCCAAAACGTTTGGTGGCTCAGCGCTGGTGCTGGCTCGACGCCAAATGCTGCATATCAGTGGGCTCACGTCTCCTTTCGCACGCATGCAGCTTAAAGAACTGCAAATCCCAAATTGCTGGCTGGCTGGCTCAACCTTGAGCTCTTCCAGCCCAACATGAGAGGTCTACGGGTCTACGGGCAGGCAATCCAAACCTCTTCGCATCGTCCAAGCGGTGCGCGGGGGGGGCGCTC